ACTTTAAAGAAAATTTGATAAATCAACTTTATGAATTTAAAAGAGTAACCAACTAACATTTAAATTTAATTAAAATCATTCAACATCAATTTAAATGAAATACACCAACATGAATGTCAAAACTGCAGAATAAAAGTGCAAATACTAAACATGAACATGTCAAAATAAAAGCCTAGTCATGAATATACTAAAAATTATTATTATTATTATTTTTACTTGGCAACCCAGAAGCATCCGCTCATCCAATCTTCCACGCGTTCAACACGACTCGTTCTAATCTAAAATTTGTTTGTAAGAGTGAGTATTTTAAACAAAACACTCAGTAAGATACGTGCAAATATCTATTCAACATAACATAAATATAAATGAAAAACATTCATACTCGACATTCATACGGTTCAAGGAATTTCTTTAGAATTCCCACATCCCGTAGGATTTAACATAATTGGACATAACGGTCTATCCCGAAAGATTTAAAATAAAAATCACTTCTTGGAATCTTAAGGCATTAAATGAAAGCATAATATAGATATTATGGAGAATAAAAATTTTAACCACTGGACTTATGTATCTTACCTTAAAATTTTGAATTTGTTAAAAACTTGAAAATGGATTCTCACGTTTCCCTTAACTTGAAGAATAGCAAAGTATATGGAATTTATAACTTTGTATGTATGAAATAACCGTGTGTGTAAGTTAAATAAATGTGCTTGGTGGGTGGGTAAAAGAAAATGACCAAGTATTTGAAAAAAAATCACCACATGATCCCATAACTTACACACACGTATACCACTAATAGAATTCAAAGCAAACAAATTGATAAGATTGATTATTTCTTTATCACATGAAATCTCACACATGCATACCAATCAATGCAAAGGAATATAATAATCAATATTATATTAAATTATTACATAAATTTCGTTTTGACCACAATAACTTGATAAAATGCGTTCAAAATAAATTTCTCTTAAACTTGATTTACGTAATTTAACACGATCTACAATATGAGACCTATATTCATATATTTTTGTTAATATCTACTATACCCAATTATTGGGCCTACGTAATATTTAGAAAAAAAAAGAAAAATATATAATTAGGAAATAATTATTTTTTTAAAAAAATATACATATATATTGTATTATCATTTTAACTAATGAATTTTATTATAATGACAATTTAGGCATGGACCAATTAATTTGCTAATGATCAAAGTTGCATTAACAAAATTTAAGACCTTCGTAAGAGGTAAATAAAATTTGGAACGTTACATCCCTTCCCCCTTAAAATAATTTCGTCCTCGAAATTATTTTATTTAGTCGAAAAGCTCTGGATACTTGGCTTTTATCTCTTCTTCTTTCTCCCAAGTAACTTCTTAGACTCCGTAATTTCTCCATCGAATTTTAACTAAGGCAACTTCCTTGTTCCCAAACCATGCACTTTCCTCTAAATAATTTCCACGGGAGCCTCTTCGTAAGTCAAGTCTCTCTGCATTTCTAGTGAGTCATACCTTATCACATGCTTAGGATCATGCACACACTTTCTAAACATTGACACATGGAACATGCTATGTATTGCATATAATCTAGGTGGCAATGCTAAACGGTACTCCACATTTCTAATTCTTTCTAGAATTTCAAAAGGACCCTTGAATCTTGGTTTCAACTTCTTCTTTCCAAATCTTAGAACCCCTTTTATTGGCGCTACTTTTAGAAATACTCTCTCTGACTTCAAACTCAACCAACTTTCTTTTCTGGTCTGCATAGTTTTTTGTATATCTTAAGCTGACTTTATTCCGTCTCTAATTTTATCAACTGCTTGCACTGTTTTTGCAATAATTTCTGGACCCGAAATTCTATTTTCTTCGACTTCATCCCAATGAACCGGTGATCTACATCTTCTACCATAGAGAGCTTCATAAGGAGCCATGCCAATAATAGTCTGAAAGCTATTATTGTATGCAAACTCTACTAATGGTAGAAATGACTTCCAACTACCTCCAAAATCCAAGACACATGCTCGAAGCATATCTTATAGAGTTTGAATGGTCCTTTTTGATTGTCCATTTGATTGGGGATGATAGGCAGTACTGAAATTTAACTTTGTCCCCATAGCTCCTTGCAGGCTCTTTCAAATTTTGGAAGTGAACCTTGGATCTCGGTCTGAAACAATAGAAGTCGGAACTCCATGTAGCTTGATAATTTCCTTGACATGTAACTGGGCAAACTGATCCATACTGTAGTTCATTCATATTGGAAGGAAGTGAGCTGATTTTGTCAATCTATCCACAATTACCCAAATATCATCATATCCCCGATTTGTCTTTGGAAAACCCACCACAAAATCCATAGCTATCTTCTTTCATTCCCACTCTGGAATTTCTAATTGGTTTAATGGCCCTGATGGTCTCTGATGTTCGACCTTAACTTGCTTGCACTTCATACATTTCTCAACAAATAGACCAATTCCTCTTTTCATATTCCTCCACAAAAATGTATCGCGAAGGTCTCGATACATCTTTGTACTGTCGGGATGCGCAGCATACGGGATAGAGTGAGCTTCTTCTAATATCTCTTTCCTTATTCCTTCATCCTTCGGTACACATAGTCTTCCCTCAAACGTCAAAGCATTATCATTTGCTATAGCAAAACCCTTTCATTTACTTGTACCAACTTCTGCCTTAATCTTTTTCAAGAATGGGTCATTGTCTTGGGCATCTTTGATGCGATCCCTAAGTGTAGGTTGGATCTTCAATGCCGCAATCTTTGCAATAAATTGAGTCGATGGGATGACCACTTCCAATCTCAATTTCTCAAATTCCTTTAACAATTGTCATTCAGTTGTGGGTAGAGCTGCCAATTTTCCCACTATCTTTCTACTAAGGGCATCAGCAACTACATTTGCCTTACCCTGATGGTAATGAATAATGCTGTCAAATCCTTAACCAATTCCAACCACCTTTTCTGCCTCATATTTAACTCTTTCTGTGTGAAGAAATATTTCAGGCTTTCGTGATCCGTATAGATGTCGCATTTTCCCCTATAAAGATAGTGACGCCATATCTTTAGAGCATGTATCGCCACCGCCAATTCTAAATCACGTGTGGGGTAGTTTTGCTCATGTGGTTTTAACTGTCTTGAAGCATAAGCGATCACCTTTCCATTCTGCATCAACACACACCCTAACCCTATTTAGACACATCACTATATATAACAAATCCATTCAAGCCCTCTGGTATAGCCAATATTGGAGCTGTGACCAATTTCTGTTTTAGTTCTTGAAAACTCTTCTCGCACTTCTCAGTCCATTGAAATTTTACCCCTTTTTAATTAGTTGGGTCATCGACCCAGCTATTTTAGAGAATCTTTCGATAAATCTTTGATAATAACCAGCCAATCCCAAAAAGCTACGGACTTCACCTACATTCGACAGTTTAGGCCACTTGGTTACCGCCTCAACTTTACTAGGGTCTACTTGAATTCCTTGTGCTATAACCACATGACCCAGAAAGCCTATACGATCTAACCAAAATTAACACTTTTTTGAATTTGGCTTACAATTTCTCCTTCCTTAGTGTTTCCAGTATTATTTTAAGTTGTTCTTCATGTTGCTCCTTGTTCCTCGAATACACCAAAATATCATCAATGAAAACAATGACGAATTGATCTAGATATTGATGAAATACCCGATTCATCAAGTCTATGAACACTGCAAGGGCATTCGTCAATCCAAAAGGCATTACAGTGAACTCGTAATGACCATAGCGAGTTCTAAATCCCGTCTTCGAAATATCGTTTACCTTTACTTTCAACTGGTGATAACTTGACCTTAAGTCAATTTTGGAAAACAATGTTGCACCCTTTAATTGATCAAAGAGGTCTTCAATCTATGGCAGGGGATATTTATTTTTAATAGTTAACCGGTTTAGCTCACGGTAGTCAATGCACATTCTCATTGAACCATCTTGCTTCTTTACGAATAAAATCGATGCACCCCAAAGAGATACACTTGGTCGGATAAAGACTTTATCCAACAATTATTGTAGCTATATTTTCAATTCTTGTAGCTCCTTTGGTGTTATTCTATAAGGAGCTTTAGATATTTGCGCTGCTCTCAGCATGAGATCAATCCTAAACTCAACTTGTCTATCTAGTGGAGTGCCAGGTAGATCATCAGGGAACACATCAATAAAATCTCGTACAATTGATACCGCACTGAGAGGAACCTCCAATTGTTATGCTCTAGATATATTCACCAAAAATCCACGGCAAGATTTCTTCTTCAACATCATCTCTGCCTTTATGACAGACACAATGCAAGGTAAAAACTTTACTCGCGTTGCGATGAATTGAAACTCTTCCTCCCCAACCTTTTGAAAAATTACTTCATTCTCAAAACATCGAATGGTCGCATGATTGCTCTGCAACCAATCCACTCCTAGAATAATATTAAAGTCTTTCATATCTAAGATGTATAGGTCAACTTTTAATTCTCTTCCATCCGTTTCTAACTTTATCACCCTAGCTATCCGATTGGTGTTCAATGTTCTACCTGATGGGATGGTAACTTCTAAAACACTGTCCAATTTTTCATATGGAATACATGATTTAGCAATAAATGCAGTAGACAAATGATTGAGTAGCTCCTAAGTCAATAAAAACGTATGCAAGTAGTTCAGATACTGATAGAATACCTGTCATTACATTCGGATCTTTTGTTGCCTCTTCCTAGGTTAAAGCAAAGACCCTGGCTTTTCCCTTCTTGTTATGCTTGTAGTCTTTCTTAGGTGGATAGGCCTTGCAGTCTGGAGCAAAATGCCCTTCTTCGCCACATCGATAGTACACATTCTTTCCAAATTAGCATTCTCCCCTGTGGCCCTTGTTACATTTAGGACATGAAGGAATAACCTTATTTGGTTTGCTTGATCCTGACCCTGATCCTGTGTTTGCTTTTTTGTTCTGTCCAAATCCTTTCCTTATGTTCGACCCATTCCACTTTTATTTTTCAAAAGATTCATCACTTTTCTCGATCATCCTATCCATTTCCAATCGATCAGAAATTGACTGAGCTGGTTGCAGTATTTCCCTGTAGGTTGTGGTATGGTGAGATGCTATGATTCCTCCAATCTCTGGACGTAATCCTAGTTCAAACCTCTTGGCCTTCTTTGCTTCAATGTCCACGAGGTGTAGGGCATACCTAGAAAGTTCTTCGAACTTTCTTTCATAATCTTCAAGTAGCATTTTTCCCTGCTTCAGTTGTAGAAATTCTGCCTCTCTTCGATCTCTTAGGGATTGGGGAAAGTACTTTTTCATTACTTCGTCTTTCATAATCCATTCCTAAAATAATATCAAAGTCTTTCATATCTAAGATGTATAGGTCAACTTTTAATTCTCTTCCATCCGTTTCTAACTTTATCGCCCTAGCTATCCGATTGGTGTTCAATGTTCTACCTAATGGGATGGTAACTTCTAAAACACTATCCAATTTTTCATATGGAATACATGATTTAGCAATAAATGCAGTAGAGACAAATGATTGAATAGCTCCTGAGTCAATAAAAACGTATGCAGGTAGTTCAGATACTGATAGAATACCTGTCATTACATTCGGATCCTTTGTTGCCTCTTCCTGGGTCAAAGCAAAGACCCTGGCTTTTCCCTTCTTGTTCTGCTCATAGTCTTTCTTAGGTGGATATGCCTTACAGTCTGGAGCAAAATGCCCTTCTTGGCCACATCGATAGCACACATTCTTTCCAAACCAACATTCTCCCCTGTGGCCCTTGTTGCATTTAGGACATGGAGGAATAACCTTATTTGGTTTGCTTGATCTTGACCCTGATCCTGTGTTGGCTTTTTTGTTCTGTCCAAATCCTTTCCTTATGTTCAACCCATTCCACTTTTATTTTCCAAAAGATTCATCACTTTTCTCGATCATCCTATCCATTTCTAATCGATCAGAAATTGACTGAGCTCGTTGCAGTACTTCACTATAGGTTGTGGTATGGTGAGATGCCATGATTCCTCCAATCTCTGGACGTAATCCTAGTTCAAACCTCTTAGCCTTCTTTGCTTCAGTGTCCACGAGGTGTAGGGCATACCTAGAAAGTTGTTCGAACTTTCTTTCATAATCTTCAAGCGGCATTTTTCCCTTCTTCAGTTGTAGAAATTCTGCCTCTCTTCGATCCCTTAGGGATTGGGAAAAGCACTTTTTCATTGCTTCCTCTTTGAACTATACCCAAGTCATAGCACGTTGTTCTGTTTATGTTCTAGAGCGTCCCACCAGTAGCCTGTTGCATTAATCGGCATAAATTCAGCGCATGATACCTTTTGGGTATTAGTACGTTCCATGTGTTTGAAAAACCACTCTAATCCTCTTAGCCATTCCTCGGCTGCCAAAGGATCAGCTTTTCGATCAAAAGAATGAGGCTTGAAGCGACAAAACTGCTCTACAATTGCACCCGTGTTGTTGCCACTAGCTGGTGCATGTCGTCTACCAAGGTCATGCACCGCCCTCATAAGATCCCTGAACATAGCTGCTTGATCTTGTTGTTGTGCCATTTCCTTTAAATCAACAAAATTTAAAATTTTGTTTTAGAAATCTTGGACAACACAGCTTATTATATTCAAAGGGAAAATGAAATCTCATAAATATAAATCATTGGAAACTAGGATGTACTATTGATTAAAATAAATCTCAAATAACATAAAGTATTTTCTTTCTGAATGGGAAGGAAAATATCATAGAACAAGGAAGTAGAATCTAAGTTTCTAATTTCTATGGATCCTACGAATCTTCTTTGGTGGAGCCTCGTCTTCCGAAGAGTCCTGTGCCTAGGGGCCGGACTTTATCTCTATTTCGACTCGTGGCTCTAGTTGTGGCTCGTGATTATCCTCTAACTCCAACCCCAAGTTATCTTCATGCTCCGATTCAGGCTCTTCCCCAGGGTCCAATTCATACTCAAGTTCGGGCTCTGGCTCTGGCTCTGGCTCGGCCTCATCTTCTACCTCGTCTGCTAACTCATCTTCTGACTCTTGTTGTAGTAGTAGGCTCTCATTATACTTATCCAAAAGGGACTGACAATACGTGCCAAACTCAATCATGTTTGAGTGCTCTGGAGGGTTACCCATTGAAGTGGAAGCGAGTTTATGAGGTTTTGAATGGCCTCGATATGCGTGATCTCTAGTCCTACATCAACCGTCGCCATACATCTTTCATAGATGTCTTGAACGTGTTCGGAAAGCAAACGAGTCGGGTCCTTTACATAATTCTCGTAAGACTGAATGATGGACTTTCAATTCAGTGTTTCTTTACAAGTAGTTGTTTTTTTCTAACTGTTCGATAAGTCCTAGCCATATCTGTCATATAATTGTCAAATTATGTTTGGTTTCTTTTGTTATCGATATCAAATTATATATTATGCTCTCATTTTTTTATTTTTTATTTTAGAGATTAATCATCATATCTCATTAAATATTAAAAACAAAATAACAATGTAATTCATTCCAAAAATCATAATCATTTCAGGAACTCAAGCTTAAGTGATTCATAAATCATGCTCAAAAAGTAAAATGGAACATAATATATTTATTTTGTATCTTGGATTTGTTGAACGGTAGTTGATTGGCAAGCGTTAAGTGCCATGGGTCTTATTTTAATATTTATTTAAGATTTAGATAAAATCTCATTATAGAACCACTTAGAAACATGTAAACACTTTGTAACTTATTACACAAAATTTGATTATTATTGTTGTTATTATTATTATTATTATTTGCACTAATAAACATGTGACTCTTGCAAGTCAAAGAATCCAAAGATTGGAACTCCAATTGAGGAAAATGGACCATAATTCCCAGAATTATATACGATATAATTTAATACAATGAATATATTGAGACAACTTTCTCATCATTTAGATGATAGGTATTAATTATCATATAAACTAATTAGGACCATGGAATATCTAAGTCGCATCAATTAAAATAAATGCAGGATAAATCAACATTCAGTAGATAAAATGATTACTTAAGGCTATTTTAGAAATGAGTAAGCTATCTATCGTTCACATCACATAGAAGAAAATATCAAAATAAGTACGTGAAGTCTTAGTCTACAGTCATCATCATTTTTTTAAATATAAAAATGTAACGTATAAAAATATATTTTGCATGCATTACAATGCAAAAACTACTTACAATTTGAGCACTTGACATAGTTGGAGCATCTTTAGACCATCAACTACAGCTATCGCTATTAGTTTAGAACGAGATTTATCGCCAAACAGAAATCATGAATATTAAATAAATACACGACATTTTTTTTTTGTTTCACATTAAATTCCCAGCACATAGTTTAAATCCGAAACAAGTAAACACTCACATTAGTCAAATAAAATACATCATATAGTATAACTTCAACCACTAAAATAATATTAAATAATACCTTATCAAGATGTCCAAAAAGTGATTAAAGTTAGATGTATCCGCAGTATAATAAAAAAATACTTTCTTAGTCAAAAGCCTTTAACTTATTATTATTATATATTTTATTAAATAGGAATAGCCATCACTAGCATTAAAACTCACAAGCAGCATATATTCCTTCAAATTTGCTGACATGTGTGAACAGTGACAGTGATGAACAGTGACGTGCGCACAAATCTATTTATTTATTTATTTAACATCTGTTGATTTTTTATTTTTTTTAAAGTCTACAAAAATGTATACCCGCTCTGATACCATTCTGTAATGTCCTTTTTTTTTGGTTTTTTTTTTTTTAAACAAAAGGAGTGTTACTAAGTTTCTTATTTTTGAAGAGATAAAATCTACTTTTGAAATTTTAAAGAAAATCTGTTAAATCGACTCTATGAATTTAAAAGAGTAACCAACTAACATTTAAATTTAATTAAAATCATTCAACATCAATTTAAATGAAATACACCAACATGAATTTCAAAGCTGTAGAATAAAAGTATAAATACTAAACATGAACATGAACATGTCAAAATAAAAGCCTAGTCATGAATATACTAAAAATTATTATTATTTTTTACTTGGCAACCCAGAAGCATCCACTCGTCCAATCTTCCACGCGTTCAACATGACCCTTTCTAATCTGAAATTTGTTTGTAAGAGTGAGTATTTTAAACAAAACACTCAATAAGATATGTGCAAATTTCTATTCAACATAACATAAATATAAATGAAAAACATTCATACCCGACATTCATATGGTTCAAGGAATTTCTTTAGAATTCCCACATCCCATAGGATTTACATAATTGGACCTGACGATCTATCCCGAAAGATTTAACATAAAAATCATTTCTTGGAATCTTAAGGCATTAAATGAAATCATAATATAGATATTAAGGAGAATAAAAATTTTAACTACTGCACTTATGTATTTTACCTTAAAAATTTGAATTTGTTGAAAACTTGAAAATGGATTCTCCTGGTTCCCTTGACTAGAAGAATAGCAAAGTATATGGAGTTTATAACTTTGTATGTATGAAATAAACTTGTGTAAGTTAAATAAATGTGCTTGGTGGGTGGGTAAAAGAAAATGGCCAAGTATTTGAAAAAAAAACCACCACATGATCTCATAACTTACACACATATACCACTAATAGAATTCAAAACAAACAAAATGATAAGATTGGTTATTTCTTTACCACGTGAAATCTCACACATGCCAACCAATTAATGCAAAGAAATATAATAATCAATAATATATTAAATGGTTACATAAATTTCATTTCGACCACAGTAACATGATAAAGTGCGTTCAAAATAAATTCTCTTAAACTTGATTTACGTAAGTTAACACGATCTACAATATGAGACCCATATTCATATATTTTTGTTAATATCTACTATACCCAATTATTGGGTCCACATAATATTTAGAAAAAAATAAGAAAAATGCATAATTAAGAAATAATTATTTTTTTTGAAAAAAATATACATATATGTTGTATTATCATTTCAATTAATGGACTTTATTATAATGACAATGTAGGCATGAACCAATTAATTTGCTAATGATTAAAGTTGCATTAACAAAATTTCAGACCTATGTAAGAGGTAAATAAAATTTGGAACGTTACAAGAGCCGCCAAGTATTCTTATCTTCATAGGACCAGACAAATCTAAATATACCACCAATATTTTTTACTTTCTTGAAGGAGACTATGTTTTGCTTTCCAAACAAACAGTGAGTATACCTTTTAAGATGTATAATTTTTTAACTCACTCAGTATACTTTTCTTTCCCAATATAGCTAATTCTTTCTTACTCGTGTGAGCAAGTCTCTTACGCCACAACTCTGCTGTACTATCATCCTCCATTGCATTAATAATGTCATTGGAGAACTTTGCGTGCAAAACATACAATGTAGAGACCTTTTTGTTGGGAAAATTGGGTGATTTGTATGTGGATTTATTTAGAAATTAGCATAATCAATTAAATGACATAAACGTAAATTCAACAGTAATATAAAACCAGAAGAAGATAGAAAATCAAGTCTTGGGAGTCACGTCGACGACGCTGCCCTAAAATCGTGTTGCCTTCCCTACGTGCGGGTTCTTTCGGCACTACACGGTTCCAAAATAAAACCCGTGTGACTCTCCTTCTATGGGCAGGACTATAGTGAGATAAAGAACCAGCCTTTGATCGAATTGTCAAAATATAATAATATAGCATAAATTATATAAAATGTTTTCTTCCAAATTATTATATTCTAATACTCCTTTTGCAATGAGATATAACTACCTTTTATAGGTGTAAATCAACTCCCACAATTAAGTCATTAAAATGGAGGTTATAACATGAATTATGATGTTTTAATTGTGTGAAAAATGATTATTAAATAAATAAAAACTAAAAATTAAATGGGTTAAATTGTTAAAAGGTTAAAACTTAATTTTAAATTACAACAATTCCCCACAAGTTTTAAACTTTCAAAATAATTAAAAATATATAATAGTGGTAACATAATACTGTGCAATAGGAGTAGGTGTCTATTAGATTTGAATCTCACTTAGTGATAACCATTTCCATTTGAGGGAACCATAATGGACTAAGCCTTGAATTAGGTCCCTTTGATCAAATTTCAATTTTTTCACACACAGTATCGATTTAGGCTCTAGTTCATAGCGGATAGCGCTTTTAATGGCCATGCGCTCTAATCTTGATTCTAGTATGACTCTCTAGAGAATAGCTCAATCCCATAGCCACGGTCTCATGACAACTCTTACATAGGTAAGTCCTTCAAAGGTGTGTGTGACCCACACCTCGCGAGAATTCTCGCCTCGGTACTCATTTAAACCCTTCCTAACATCACAGCATTATTAGCACTATCACCATAGGGATGAACACAATATAAGTAGTGCTATTATAAGTCACGCAGTACGAGTTGTTTCTACCACATTGAACCTTCTTCATGGGATCTCCAATCACAAATGTTAGGTTACTCCCAGAGATGACTCCCTTATGGGCTTAAACACATCCTCCTCGATGATTTATGTATGTCCATCTCGGACTCCATATACTCATGTCCTTCTTGGACAATAAATTGGTACCATTAACTTGTAAAGCTTTTCTTTATCACCTGCCCATTTGCATATTTGCAAAGTCATCTAAGAATTTTTTTTAAATATCAATATCACATATATAAGTTTAATAAGATAAATATACGAAATTTTAATATTGATTTTAGTAATACGTTCGAGCAGATGAATCCATTTAACTCTTGCATTTCACCTGCAAACTTCATATTCAATGTGAACATTTTGATAAATGTGTCAATTCCAAAATAATAATGAATAATTATGGATAAAGCACGCGGATATCCAATATTTTTAATACCCCCACATTTCAAAGATATCAAGCTTTTCTTGAGTAATATACGAACTTACAAATTATTTATTTGTTAAGATCACATGTTGTGAGGAGATGGTTGGTGCACGTGTTTATCAAACCAAATATTTTGTAACTTTTCCTTAAACACATTCGCAAAATATTAGTCATAAAACTAAAGAATAATCTCCTAAAACAAGCAACAATATAGCTCTTGTTCGGTAGAGATTATATATCCAATCTTCAAATTGAGCAAAACGTCAATATCATTACAATAAAATAGTCATAGATAGACCTCACACGAGATCTTAGTTTCATGTTTCATAATATGAACTATTGCACAACTACTTAACAGTTTACAATCCTTTAAATGCATGACATGAATTATGATATAAAGTTCTTGAACTCATTGTGCAAAATTCATGAAATAAAGCTTCAGACATCCTTTCTTATTATACACGCTATATACATTTAAATTTATAACAAATAATATACCCATATATCTTTGCACTTTTGATATGCAGCTCTTCTAAAGTAATAATTTACATTCCTGCATTCAAAACGACTTGAAAGTCTGAACCAATAAACTAGTTTTGCTCCATTTGATTGGTCACATAAATATTTCTACACGCTCATTTCATCAATCTCTTCGTTAAAAGTTTAACAAAAGGTTAATGTTTCAAAATTAAGAAATATAGAACGAGAGTACTTCAACAATAGATATTCCAACTAACAAAATTGGAAAAGTGAGATAATATATGTACTTGATAACATGCCAAAAATAAATCAAATTGAAGCAACAAACCTAATACTACCAAATTAAATTCACATTCTCACCTCCTAGATTTAAGACATTTGTACTATGTTAAGGAATGAAACATTTAAACCATATAGGTTACAATATAAATTATGAGGTTTTAATTATGTATTAAAAAGATAATTAAAAACTGAAAATTAAAATCATTTTTAAGCTTTGAAATTTTTAACTTAAGTTACAACATTTATATAATGTTTAAAATATACAACATTCTTTCCGTAAGCAATGCCTCTGACTGTGAAGAAGATCTTTGTAATATTCTTCTCATATCTTCATTTAACAAACTACTCTTGGCCAGAAAATATTGTGATGACACCATCCAGAGCAGAGTTAGACAATGATGTTCTGAGCATCTCCCATTAATCCGATAATGAATCAAGCAATCATAACCACTAAATTTCATCATCAAACTTAATACTCATTCTAGTCAACTGATTAATAATTCTTTGGAATGTGTTTAGATGGTCAGTTAAAGGAGTTCCATTCTCAATGTCATCATCTATTTAATAAAAAATATCTTATTATTTTCGGTTCTTCTAACACATAACTATTCAAGCTTATTCCATAGAGTACGAGCATATGTTTCCCCACTAACATGATTCAAAACGTTATCATCTACACATTGCCTGATATATCTACAAACTCGTCGATGCAGTAAACTCCATTATTCATCGGACTTGTTATTCAATTTTCCAGTTGCAAACATTAGTAGATAATAATCTTTTACATAAAGAAGTCCTTCCATTTTTCCTCTCCATATGTGACAATTTAAACTATTAAAGTTAATCATTTTACTCAAATTCGCTTCCATAATCTAAAACCCAAATCTTAGAATCTGGTTCTGATTGTCGAGAGAGATGCAAACAAGTAATAAACAAAGAAATACTTTTTCTCCCAAAAACAAATAAGTAAAACACATTTTTTTGACAATTGTATATGCTGAAAAATTTTATAAAGAAAATTAATCACACCAAACCACAAGAACAAAAACAATTATTTTACATGGAAAAACTTTCTCGACGCGAGGAATAAAAACTACGGGATCTAGTCCAATCAAAACCTCCACTATCAATCAAATAATTGGTACACCAAATATTCTCTAATCACAATTGGAGGCTAAAAAATATATTTCTTAAAGATAACAACAATCTTGGTAAAACAATATGAAAATAAGAAAAATATACCCAAAAAATCTAGTTACCGTTCATGCACATTAACCAATGTTCTTGAACTCAAAATCCGTTCTCCACCGTTCAGATTATAGCTCTATATCTTGTGAACTTAACCCCCAAATTTCAGCTCGATCTGACCAAGATGACTCGGTATCGAAGTTTTGATGAAATCTGAGCGTAAGAAAAAAATTGTATTTCCTTTCTTTTCAAAAATGGGTTGGACTCCTATTTTCTCCAATTCTCTTATATTTATATTCATCATTAGGTTAAAACTTTAATGGGTTTTGGGCTATAATATAAGATTTCAAATGTTCCCTCCTTATAAGAGGAAATAACCCAACAAAATTCACATCTTTTCCATATTGATATGTAAAATGACCTCGAAAATTTTCCCCTACAACACATATCCATTTAATAGCATCAATTGAGAATTATAAATAATAAGTTCAAGTCTCTTGGTATCGAGCTATCTCAACTCTCATAAGGTTGACTTTATTGACTGAGAGAAATGAAATTCGTTTAGTAACGCATATAATGGCAGCGATAATTAATTTCTCTCAGTCGTGCCCCTATGGTTGGAGGCTTGGCTTGCTGTCTCTGTGGGAAATTACAAGGGCATATACGTCTTTATGTAAAAGGAATTAAACGTCAAATTCAGTAGCCGAAAAGCGTCGAATAATTCTGAGATCTAAATCTGGAGGAACTTCGTATTCACGCGATATAGCATTTCCCCATCCTGTACAAATCTCTCTCGTACACACACATTTCACTGCTTTTCGATTTCAGAAAAACTCCGTGTTTAACCAAAGTCTGATCCATATCAATTCCAGATCCACCAAAGGTATATTTCTCTTTTACAATAAATTTCAGTTTCTAATTGTTTATTTATATAAAGTTATAGAAGTACGTTAATTTAGGTGTTAGTTATTGTCGGTTCTATTATTTGTGTTTTTTTGCATTGTAAGTTTATCCATCTGTTCATTTGTTTTTTTTTTCTATGTTGTTGTTAAAACCCTAGATCTGGAGGAATTTGTGGATTTTTTGTTTGGATGTTTTCATTTCTTAGCTATTGTAGATCAGTGTTTGGACTGACGACAGTAATGAAATTATTTTATTTTCCTTTCAAGTTATTTTGAGTACGAGGTATATTTGATTTGATTCATTTAGGATACAATTACATTGATTGTTTTTATGTGTTTGTGCGCAGAAGTGGTTAAAATATTCAAAGATTTGCGGATTGTAATTTAGCGGACACACTTTTAACGAAGTTGGAAAAGCCGTTCAATTTAATGATTTGCAGGATATCGAGTTAATGTTATTCCTCAATTTGTTGAATTGGTATTTCCACATTTGGAGGTCAAACAATATACTGCAGACTGTAATTTAGTGGATTCATTTTGGATGAAGTTTGAAAATTCAACATAATGAATGGCGATTGCCATTGACTTGTGATTTGCATGATATCGGGTTAATGTTATGACTCTATTTGTCATTTTGGTATTGCCTCATTTATTAGGTGGAACAGACTATTTATCAACTCTTCGGAACAACTCCTTATGTGCTTGTTTGGGTTTCATTATAAGTTGTTGAAATTGTAATGTGATAGAAATGAGAGATGGATAAGTGGGTCTTATGAAATGTGTGGTTAAAATTAAAGTTTGATTTTGATCTTTAAATTATAAGGTGATCGTAGTGAAAGGTAAACAAGCACTATATCAGTCTATGTATTTATTGATATTGTAAAACTTTCCAGTGATACCCCTGTTTGACATACTCTAAAAGTTCTTCTTTCATCATGTAATAATATTAAGTAAAATGGCGTGCCATGTCTATCTGAAGAAAAGGCAGTTTGACTAGTCAAGGGAGTGTAGCTTTAATTATTGGAAAGGTAAACAATTCCAATAGTTGTGGCCAGACAATGTTTTAGTCTGAGTGTCCGCCAGCGAATGTTATACTTGTTATCTGATTCCTGAATTTATTACCTCATCATTTACTTGTGTATCCGTGTTTTGTTTGATGTACGACATATTTCACTATTCTTTTTAGATTTTACATTCCCATGATATATAATATTTGATATAATCAACCTAACTGCTAATTATTATTAATATATTTTCCTTTTTACTTCCAAAGGAGCAGCAGAACTATATTTTTTTAGAGTCAAACAGATTGATGATTTGTGCCCTATATTTTCCTGTTCAAACAATGGGATTTGCCATCAAACATGAAGAATGGATTAGTATTAACTTATGTCTGGGTGCGCGTGCATAGGCAATGGCATAATGCACTTTGGACAAAGACAAAATTGTAATTGTTCTATAAAAGGCTTCCCAATAAGTTGGGCTGTTACGTTCCGTTTCACTATATATTTACATCTGTCCCTAAATATTTATGTGTAGACTTTTAGTTGATTTTCTTCACAGCATGTAACTAACTAGCATCCACCAGTGAGTAGATGGCAAATGATGGATGGATCTATAGTTTGAGTTGGAAAAGCAATCACTATTTTGGGGGTGAAATGAAGACAACCTTCCACTAATTAATTAAACCATTTGTCATGCCACTGTTTATAATATGCATATCTCGAGCTCGTTATAGTAACTTAAAAACTGATGCTAAATGTTCTCATTGCAGGATTGATTCTTTGTATGTCGCCAATTGTAGCTTAGATTAAGCAGGTTGGATTTGCTTTACTTTCCATTCACTTAATGGCATCGTCTTCGATTTCAAGAAGGAAATATTTGGCTGCTTTACTATTCTTGGCTCTGATATTGCAAACCTGCAATGGGTTTTATCTCCCTGGAAGCTACATGCATACATACTCAAATGGGGACGAAATATCTGCTAAAGTGAATTCCTTGACCTCTATTGAAACTGAGCTTCCTTTCAGCTATTACAGTCTTCCTTACTGCACGCCTCCTGGAGGTATAAAAAAAAGTGCTGAGAATCTCGGAGAACTGCTCATGGGAGATCAGATTGACAATTCCCCGTACCGTTTCCGGATGAATGTAAATGAGTCCATTTACCTCTGCACTACTTCTCCATTGAGCGAGAATGAGGTAAAGCTTTTGAAGCAGAGAACTCATGATCTGTATCAAGTGAACATGATATTGGACAATCTACCAGTTATGAGATTTACCAACCAAAATGGAGTTAAAATTCAGTGGACTGGGTTTCCAGTTGGATACACTCCACCGGGCGGTAATGATGATTACATCATCAATCATCTCAAATTCAAGGTTTTTATTCACGAATATGAAGGGGCTGGCGTGGAGATAATTGGAACTGGGGAAGAAGGCCTGGGTGTCATTTCAGAAGCTGATAAGAAGAAGGCTTCCGGCTATGAGATTGTGGGTTTTGAGGTTGTCCCTTGCAGTGTAAAGTATGACCCCGAAAAGATGACAAAACTCCACATGTATGACAATATTACAACTGTGAGCTGTCCACAGGAGCTTGAAAATTCTCAGACTATAAGGGAGAAAGAGAGAGTATCATTTACATATGAGGTCGAGTTTATGAAAAGCAATGTTAGATGGCCATCTCGATGGGATGCTTATCTGAAGATGGAAGGTGCACGCGTGCACTGGTTCTCAATTCTTAATTCATTGATGGTGATTTTCTTCTTGGCTGGCATTGTTTTTGTCATCTTTCTGAGAACTGTGAGAAGGGATTTGGCGAGGTACGAGGAGTTGGACAAGGAAGCTCAGGCACAGATGAATGAGGAGCTTTCTGGATGGAAACTTGTGGTTGGTGATGTCTTCAGAGAACCAAATCATTCAAAGCTACTTTGTGTGATGGTTGCGGATGGAGTTCAGATTACTGGGATGGCAGTTGTCACTATTATTTTTGCAGCTTTTGGATTCATGTCACCAGCTTCACGAGGTATGCTGTTAACAGGGATGATATTGCTTTATCTTTTCTTGGGAATTGCAGCTGGTTATGTTGGTGTACGCATGTGGAGGACCATCAAAGGGTCATCTGAAGGCTGGAGATCGATTTCTTGGTCTACGGCATGCTTCTTTCCTGGAATTGTTTTTGTTATTCTGACTGTGTTGAATTTCATACTTTGGGGTAGCAAGAGTACTGGTGCTATTCCCATATCTTTATATTTTGTGCTCTTGTCTCTCTGGTTCTGCATTTCGGTGCCACTTACCCTCTTGGGAGGACTCTTAGGCACCCGAGCTGAGCCTATTGAATACCCTGTCCGTACTAACCAGATCCCTAGAGAGATTCCTCCACACAAATATCCATCATGGCTTCTTGTTCTTGGCGCTGGAACTCTTCCATTTGGAACCCTCTTTATCGAGCTTTTCTTCATTCTATCTAGCATCTGGCTTGGAAGGTTCTACTACGTCTTTGGTTTCCTGCTTGTTGTCTTCACGTTGTTGGTTATCGTCTGTGCTGAAGTTTCTGTTGTCCTCACTTACATGCATCTTTGTGTTGAAGATTGGATGTGGTGGTGGAAAGCATTCTATGCATCAGGTTCAGTTGCCTTCTATGTGTTCTTGTACTCTGTCAATTATCTGATTTTTGACCTCCGAAGTTTGAGTGGTCCTGTGTCAGCAATGCTTTATCTTGGCTACTCACTGATAATGGCAATTGCAATCATGCTTTCTACCGGTACCATTGGTTTCCTTACATCATTCTACTTTGTCCATTACCTGTTCTCGTCAGTGAAGATAGATTGAAAAGAATTGCTTCTGGAATTCATGCTTGAGTGTAGGAAGAAAACAAAGAGTGGCGTTCGTTAGTGAGCACTTTTCTGTTTCTCGACGCTAGAGTAGCAGTAAATTTGCGATTTAGCTTTTTAATTCTTGTTGTGTCCCTTTTCTTTTCAACTCCTCCAGTTACATTTTGTAATATTACGTATAGCTTATTTTTTTTCTTTGTCCATTACCTGTTCTCGTCAGTGAAGATAGATTGAAAAGAATTGCTTCTGGAATTCATGCTTGAGTGTAGGAAGAAAACAAAGAGTGGCGTTCGTTAGTGAGCACTTTTCTGTTTCTCGACGCTAGAGTAGCAGTAAATTTGCGATTTAGCTTTTTAATTCTTGTTGTGTCCCTTTTCTTTTCAACTCCTCCAGTTACATTTTGTAATATTACGTATAGCTTATTTTTTTTCTGTTTAATTCGTGCAGTGGAAAACTTGTTACTTGATATCACTTTTTATCCAATATGTTTAATAAAGCTAGACAAAGTGCATGCTTGAGAAATGATTATAAGTTGTTCCTATGAGATGGGTGGATAATCAGTGGATAGTAGTTTTTGTTTCTTATAAAATGTGTAGATAAAAAGTACGATTCATGAGATTGGATTATTATTTTTTCACTCCTCAAACATGCTCAATTGGTCAATGTTTCTATATCTAATTATTTAATTTTTGCTCTTGTTTCGATCAAGATTTTTGGGGGACATTGAAGTTATTAGTTAGGAATTAGGCAATTAGCATTCAATATGTCAACTTTACTAACTTGAAGGGTAGACTCTCTTTAGTTGACTTGCCTCTGTTGCTTCGATGGGGGGGTCAAGTGCTCTACTGCTAGTCACGAAAAAATTGAATCAATGATTGCCAAATGGATAACGAAAAGAATTCAAAAACTTGAGCACTGCTCACGAATGTACATAATTTGGTGCAAAAAACATTTTATTTGACAAATTATTTGTATTTGTAGCTTGCAGTTTTCAGACCCCGTGGAATTTATTAATGATATTTAATGCATGTAATGCGCATTAAAGACACTCGTGTACTAAATTATATTTTAATTTTGCTGACCTCCTTTTAATTCTTGTTGTGTCCCTTTTCTTTTCAACTCCTCCAGTTACATTTTGTAATATTACGTATAGCTTATTTTTTTTCTGTTTAATTCGTGCAGTGGAAAACTTGTTACTTGATATCACTTTTTATCCAATATGTTTAATAAAGCTAGACAAAGTGCATGCTTGAGAAATGATTATAAGTTGTTCCTATGAGATGGGTGGATAATCAGTGGATAGTAGTTTTTGTTTCTTATAAAATGTGTAGATAAAAAGTACGATTCATGAGATTGGATTATTATTTTTTCACTCCTCAAACATGCTCAATTGGTCAATGTTTCTATATCTAATTATTTAATTTTTGCTCTTGTTTCGATCAAGATTTTTGGGGGACATTGAAGTTATTAGTTAGGAATTAGGCAATTAGCATTCAATATGTCAACTTTACTAACTTGAAGGGTAGACTCTCTTTAGTTGACTTGCCTCTGTTGCTTCGATGGGGGGGTCAAGTGCTCTACTGCTAGTCACGAAAAAATTGAATCAATGATTGCCAAATGGATAACGAAAAGAATTCAAAAACTTGAGCACTGCTCACGAATGTACATAATTTGGTGCAAAAAACATTTTATTTGACAAATTATTTGTATTTGTAGCTTGCAGTTTTCAGACCCCGTGGAATTTATTAATGATATTTAATGCATGTAATGCGCATTAAAGACACTTGTGTACTAAATTATATTTTAATTTTGCTGACCTCCTAAGACGTAACAGTAGGGGGAATTGTAGTTTGTAAACAGTTGTTGACACATCACATACGTTTGGTGTCAAAAAAAAAAATTACTGGATAAAAAAAATTTATTTTTAAATTGTCAAATGAGATATTACAATGTAGCATAGTATAAATAAGGGTATACACCAAGATGTACGTCAAGCATTATGGTCTCAAGTCGTGCATTTTACAAGTCAAGACGGAACGATCAAGTTGAACTGTGATGAAATTTAAATTCATAAATCAATGACAATCGACAAGAAAAAAACCTGTAAAAGAATTAATGAATACGAAAAAGGATTTTTTCGATCAGCATTATTCATGTGAACATAGAGAGAGGTATGTAACATCATTAAGCCCCCCGGGCATAACTCAGTTGTGCAAATGATAGGAGTGAGATTGTCTCACGTCTTGCTGTCAGCCGTAGTGTGGAGGTTCGATTCTTGAAACATAGAATTTGACTTCTTGTAGGCCCATTGTACAGACAACCCTTATTCCCTGACATTTTGGGACACATCCCGCGATTTACCTCCCTCACAAAACTCTAGGGACGGGATAGTGGGACCCTAAAAATTGGAGTTGAGCCTAATTTATTTTTTTAGGCATGTAACGTCATTTGTCGTAACCATCTAATTTAAAAGCTTTACATGCAAGTTGCGGCCGAATTCCTACCTATATTCTTTGGAAACGTGTACTAAATTATATTTTAATTTTGCTGACCTCCTAAGACGTAACAGTAGGGGGAATTGTAGTTTGTAAACAGTTGTTGACACATCACATACGTTTGGTGTCAAAAAAAAAAAAATTACTGGATAAAAAAAATTTATTTTTAAATTGTCAAATGAGATATTACAATGTAGCATAGTATAAATAAGGGTATACCCCAAGATGTACATCAAGCATTATGGTCTCAAGTCATGCATTTTACAAGTCAAGACGGAACGATCAAGTTGAACTGTGATGAAATTTAAATTCATAAATCAATGACAATCGACAAGAAAAAAACCTGTAAAAGAATTAATGAATACGAAAAAGGATTTTTTCGATCAGCATTATTCATATGAACATAGAGAGAGGTATGTAACATCATTAAGCCCCCCGGGCATAACTCAGTTGTGCAAATGATAGGAGTGAGATTGTCCCACGTCTTGCTGGCAGTCGTAGTGTGGAGGTTCGATTCTTGAAAAATAGAATTTGATTTCTTGTAGGCGTAGTGTACAGACAGCCTTTGTTCCCTGGCATTTTGGGGCATATCCCGCAATTTACCTCCCTCACAAAACACTAGGGACCCTAAAAATTGGGGTTGAACCTAATTTTTTTTTTTTTTTAGGTATGTAACGTCATTTGTCGTAACCATCTAATTTAAAAGCTTTACATGCAAGTTGCGGCCGAATTCCTACCTATATTCTTTGGAAATACTTGTCGTCAGTCATCACCATTTGCATATTCATTTCCCCTAAACCAAGTTCCTTCCATCCTTTCTCTCTATAAATTCACGCATTTTTATTTATTTTTTGATTGCCCCGAATGGAGTCAAAATTACAGTCACGTTTCACACTGGGTAAGCAATCCTCCGGTGCCCCTGAAACTGATGACGTTTCCGGTTCTGGCGTACTGGATGTAGAGTTTATAGATTCGGGCGTACGGTTGATGTACTTAGCAAATGAAGGCGATTTGGAAGGGATTCAAGAGCTTTTGGACTCTGGCACCGATGTGAATTTCACTGATATTGATGGCCGCACCGCCCTACACGTGGCGGCTTGTCAGGGCCGCACTGATGTTATCGACTTGCTTCTCCGCCGTGGCGCCGAAGTCGACATCAAGGACCGGTGGGGAAGCACGGTATGCTTGCCTTTATAATTAATGTGTAAAACAGAATTGTTAATAGTCGATATTTTTAATGTTAATTAATTAAGTTGGAGAAAATTTATAAAAGCTTCAATTTTTTCAAATTAGTTACTGACAATTTAGTAATTTATAATAATTTGGACGAGTTCATCACTTATTTTCGCTCTAATATTAGAAGCTACTGTTTGACGAGGGTAAAACTTGAACGATTATGAGATAGAAAGTGGGGGATAGGGCCATGAGGAGTAATCTGTTTGTTTAGCTGAGATGTATGAAAGTCTTATTTCCATTTCTTGAGAAGGAATATTTTAGCATGATATTTGTGATTTTTTATTTTTATTTATTTATTATTTATTTTTATTTTTATTTTTTTCACGAAAGATGCTAGCTTTGATGCTAGACATGGATGGAATTCCAAATGGCCCTTCAACTGTTGCATCAGCAAGTTTAGAAAGATCCTATCCTTACAAAAAGCAGTGTTCTAAATAGCACACATTGGCGTGCACTGGTGCGAGGCGAGGCTTTGCTTGGCGCCTTATTTGATGGCCAACAGACACGAGGCGAGGTTAAGGCGCCAATGTGCGCCTAGGCACACATTATTAGGTTTTTTTTCTTTCTTTCTTTTTTTTTTACATTTCTTATATGTTAAAACTTATAATTATTAAATAATTTATAATTATTAAATAATTTTTTTATTGATTAAAAGTTTAAAATAATATTAAAATAAGAAAACGTACGCATTTGCCTCGCCTAATCTTGCATTGCCCTTAGCTTGGCATCAACACATCACTACGCATTGCGCCTTTTAGAACACTAATAAAAAGAACTTTTACCATATTTAAATCTGGCCCACGTAATATAATTCTGGAAACACTTCTTGCAACGTTAATGTGGTCAAAAGTTTTTGGCAACTTTACAATGAAATCAGAACTTGCTATAATGCTCTCATGAAGTGAAGCTTACACAATTTTCTCTTTGTTGCCTTTTTTTTATGTAAAATAAAGTTATCTTGATTATCAGTCAGCAGTACTGCCTTTTCTCTTGAAACGTCATGCAGCAGAATGACTTCTGCCCATAGGTAATTCAATGACTTGTCGGTTGTTAGGTAGATTTGGGAAGCCAAGTGGTAGCAAGTTTAATATGCACCATGGACACATGAATGGAATTCAGTTTTGTCCAGCTTGTTTTCTGTACTGGGAATGTTAGTAGTGTTGTTTTAAGGTGTCAACGTTCTCACCAAGCTATTGGTAGATAAGTTATTGACAAAGTTTGATTAAATAGCCTCTTGCAGATGCAATATATTACGAAAATAAGGATGTTATCAAGCTTTTGGAGGCACGTGGAGCAAGACCTCCTGTAAGTGTCACACATCTTGTCAAGTATGCTGGTTGATGTTTTTTGTTTTGCTGTTCGTTTCATTAATGAAACAAATGTCTTTGTGATAGTATATGCTTTGTCTCATCGTGTGAACATCAGAGTGTCCTATTCCTTTTCTTTTAGGAGGCTCCCATGCATGTCCAAAATTCTTTTGAAGGTCCTGAATATGAAATTGATATAAAAGAGCTCGATTTTACAAATAGCGTGGAGATAACAAAGGTAAAATTCATTCTGTATCTGAAATCATTATTAATACTGTTTAAGCTTGCAGATTTTTTTACACGCAACGTTCTGTAAACTGTTTGTCCCTCTCCTAAGATTGTTATCAATTCATTGTAAGATCTTGCAGTGCATTGCTTTTCTCAAACTTATGTTGTCAGATGCTTGAGCGTTTAGAAATTGGAGACATTTTCCATTATACCATAGAGGACTGCTAAGTTTCTGATCATTTTCCAGAATTCATCTGAACTACTAGGAATGTGGGACAAAGTGGGAATATGATGTTAACTATAACTTTTCCATCACTCCCATGATTTCTTTGTTGTATAAATTGTGCTGTAGGGAACATTTTGCATTGCATCATGGCGTGGAATTCAAGTTGCTGTTAAGAGATTTGGTGAAGAATTGTTCACAGATGAAGACAAAGTGTGGGTTGGTCATATGCTATGCATGAATTTCCTTATGTTGATCTTTTATCTTCCCATTTATCCCATGTTTGGTTTGGCTAAAAATCAAAATTTTAGTAGATTTTGATAAAAGTTAATGAAATGTGTGGTTGAAAAGTATCAAGTTGTGGGTGTTATAAAATGTGTGGTTGAAAATGAATTTGGGAAAAAAATGAGTTTTAAAGAATTGAGGCCAAACATGGGGTTAATTGTATAAATAATTTCCAATTATCTGTGATTCAACTGGGTTCTTTTGGTGGTTTGCACAGAAAGGCATTCAGGGATGAGCTAGCTTTACTTCAACAGATACGCCACCCAAACGTTGTCCAGTTTCTGGGTGCTGTAACACAAAGTACTCCAATGATGATAGTCACGGAATATCTACCCAAGGTACTTTTCGGTTTAATTTTGAACTCTTAACTTTTCTATTGTTCAGTGGTACTTATCTTAGATTTTCTTTATTTCTACTAGAAACAATTTTTTTCTTCTTTTAGTGCAGATGATTTATAATGGTTTGCATTTGGAGAAGTCGTAAATATCTTGCTTGTTTGTGTACTATTAGAGAGGAATCTTTAGTTTTTGAAACTGCTAATTGCTAAATGTTTGGGGATCTTTGTTGTCAATAAGATTATTAAATTCCTTAGACTACTCGTGACTGTTGATATAGATCTTAATTGATGCGCAGGGAGATCTTTTTGCATACTTGAAACGAAAGGGCACCATAAAGCTGACAAGGGCTATTAAGTTTGCTCTGGATATTGCTAGGTTAGTTCACTGGCTAATATAATAAACTAGTGCAAATGTTAATCGAGTATTGTATTCAGAAGGTGCTTGAATTTGTATACGTTACTTTCTGTTGAGAACAATAGCCTCTTATTTTATGACATCCAGTTCTTTATGCTTCAGAAAATGCTGTGCGTAATAGCATAAGTAGTTTATAGAAAAGAAAATTCTACTTGTACATAATTATTGCACATAATGATGTCCATAATATGATGTGGCAATTATTCGATTGTTGACGTGCAAGTGTGAGATTTGAATTAAAAGTTGGATCCAGTGCCATGTGTAATTATGGACACCATTATGTAGGCAATCCACTAAAATGCTTCAGGAAAAGCAAACACGCACATTTATGGAGAGATAACACTAATGTCATGCTTGAAAACTGCATGATGGAGTTATTTGACTCACACTGTAAATGGTATATGCATTTCCTTTCTTTGTATATTAATTCATATATTTTCTATGTACCACAGAGGAATGAACTACTTGCACGAGCATAAGCCTGAAGCAATAATTCATCGGGATCTCGAGCCTTCGTATGTTTCTACTTATTGAATGTGATGATTCATGGTCAATTATGCGTTTTTCCTTATGCTGAAGCATGTGTTGAACCTGTAGAATCTATTTGAATATAATGAGAATGAAAACAGGAACATACTCCTGGATGATTCTGGCCATCTAAAAGTTGCAGACTTTGGACTAAGCAAGCTGATGAAAGTTGCAAAATCAATTAAAGAAGATATACCTGCGACTTGCCAACAGACTTCTTGTAAGTATTTTATATGTAGGAAGCAATATATTTTGTCCTGTGGTTTAATTACAAATAGAATTGATGAGCGAAATTAGGGAGATTGGGCATCTACCTTAGTTAGTGCTAACATTTTTTTTCCCTTTATTGCTTTGTTGATGCAGTACAGATTTTACTTTGCTCCAACCGTGAGACTTGCCTGCAGAAAAATCTCTTTTTATCCATGCATATGGAAAAAATAATTTCAATTTAGCCATTTGAATGTTATTGCTTCTAGGATGATATTTTAATTTCCTGATAAGTGTTGAAAATTCTTGCATGCACTTAATACACAAGTATATCTCTTTGAAGTGATCAAACACCATAATAAATTGGATTGTTATTAAAATGGATCCTTTTATATCAACCCAGGGCGTTATTTGGCTCCAGAAGTTTTTAAAAATGAGGAGTATGATACAAAGGTGGATGTCTTTTCATTTGCATTGATATTACAGGAGGTAAATGCTTCTTTGCATTTTTTTTTTATCCTATTTGTCTATCAATAACTTCACTTGATTTTTTTCTCTAAATTGTCCAGCGGTTGTTGGTCAAACGACAGAAAATGGTTGATTGGTCAATGTTTGTTTATTCTGTAGTACTGTTTTTTATCATATAAAATTAGGTCTTTCAGGTCAATATATTTTTGTTTCTTAAGAATTGTAAGAATCTATAATTTGTCCATGTGTTTTCTCATTGCTTAAATATTATGTTTATTGCATTTTTATGTTATCCTTCCCTTTTCAGATTTATAATTTTTTGGTTCATGATGGTACAGAACATGTTTATTGTTATGATCTTCTTTAAGATAGTATGATGATCTTTTTGCATAAGATCTACTTGAATTTTGGTAGAGGGATATGAAGAATGAGTAGGACCTGAGTAGATGATTATATTAACTTTTGGGAAATTCAGGCATAAAAATATAACAATATCCATGCAACTACAGTAGCATTGCCTGTATTCTATCAGGTTGATTCAAATCCATCCCATAGCGGGAATTGATACATGCCTAGAGAAAATCTGTTTAAACTAAAGAATGACTTGGTTGGTATTTCATTTATTTACATACGATCAATCTGTCATGCATAAAGCTTGTCGTGAATTTCTGTATTCAACTCGTGCCATTTTATCAATGACATATTGCATCAGAGTTGCTAAAATTTCTTTTGAAATTCTTTATTGAGAAGAAAGACAACTGTTTATTGGCACTTATACGACAGAGAACTGGTACTGTTTAGTGTAACAAGTTAAGGTGGTTGCATCAGAGTTGCTAAAAGTTAAAAGAATTATGGGGATAACTGTTTATTGGCACATATAGGATAGAAGTGGGAAAGATTAGTTTATCAAGTTAAGGTGATTTAGTGCTGAGAAAATAGAATAAATATATTGTATACAGACTCTATTGATTTGTTTTTATTAATTATACTAACTTTTTTGAAATATACTGCCTCAGTTTCCTTTTCCCTATCTTTATTGGGTAGATACTAGATAGAGGGATGTTTAAGTTGTTTTGTACCTGTCATGCATAAACTCACCAATGCGTGATAAAGATCTCTTTCTGAAGAGTTGTGGCATGACAACTGTTTTTCCTATCAATTTTGGTCCACAGATGATCGAAGGTTGTCAACCATTTCCTAGAAGGCAAGAAATTGAGGTCGCCAAAGCATACGTTGCAAATGAGCGCCCTCCTTTTAGAGCTCCAGTGAAATTTTATGCTCATGGACTGCGAGCGTAAGCCTCTGAAGTTTATTTAGTTTTCAATACATCTGAGATGGATTTACATTTAATATGAGCTCCAATGATTTCAAGTGGAGACTCTATCCTGTGCTCAAGAAATGAAGTTTAAGCTTTTGTTCGCAATCAATTAATGACTAATTTGCTTGGCAAAGGTACAATGAGATTGCATTTTTTTCTTTATGCTTTTTAAGTGCAATCAATTTGTGATGGAACACACCATCTCCTTTCATCTCTACATCTTATCTTGAGATTTTTCAAGTTAGTCTTTGTAATTTTTTATATTCTGCTTGTTCTTTCTCTCCCATCAGTTACCAAAAATTAAACATTAATAAATTTATCGACTAATCAAATTTCTGTATCCTTTTGTGTCAAAGTAATTCCCCCTCTGTGTTTATCCCTAACAGCTTGGCCAATGGAATGTAGTGATTTCAGGATTGGAATTGAATTTTGATTTATAATTAAGGATTTCCAAATATTAGGTTGCTGATAAATAAGGCATATTCATTTCATTTTTTTTTTCCTTATCATCTTTCTAAGGGTCCGTTTGATTACAAAGAT